AACACAACTTTAACATTTATTATGTAATAGTACGCAACACTCATTGCACATCTTTTATGCCATTTGTACATTATATTGTTTATGGTATATATGTTTTTCTGTATTTATGCTGGAATTTATAAGAACACCTGCTTCGAGAGATAATAAAATGTTTATCATGTTGATCCTCTGTTAAATTTTCAAAAGCTTTTGAAATGGCTCATATCTCAAAGCTCTGACTTAGCTTGTTGTATTAGCTCTTGAGGGCATCTGAGAACAATTCTAAGGCAAAAGTTTTCAATTCATTGCAGCAGGTCTGCAAAGTATGGATGTTTTAATTGAGTGCCTCTCACAGGAGAGCTCTGGTTAATCTTCATGCTTGGAAGACAAAAATGTCCCCCCTGTGACCAAAGAGGTCAACTGTTAAACTCCTAACCTGTTCATGATCATCCAATCCATTACAACAGCCATTATATTTTAACTAAAACAATATTGTTTAAAATGTTTGGTTGTAGCCTATTGCCCTACAAAGAATAATTGTATACCAAAAGAATCATTGAGAGAAAACCATTACTGCAGCATGTAGGTGTTTGGTTGCTGTTGGAACTAAACTTTGCATGTCCCTTTTGGTCATTTTTCTTTCTTTTTTTTCCACATAACTTGAAAATGCCAGCTGCTCTTTATAATGCATTAAAATCAAAACTCTCCAAAAATACTTAGAAAAAGTACTGTTCCATTGACTTAAAATGAAAGTGAAGAATGTCTATTCTCTCTCCTGGAACGTTACTGTTTTGGAGATATGAAATTTTGTTCCAGCACCAGTGATATAACAGTATAGCAATATGTCAAAGCCAGTTAAAAGGAGAAATGTCCAAATTATGGGAGGGGAAAGAATAAGGTGAACTATCAAACAAACAAACAAACAAACAAATAAACAAACAAACAAATGAAAATAGTTCCAATTGCTTCAGTGCTTGGACCCCTTAAAAATAATACATTACTGCAATATTTGCAATATGTATATGTAAAATGACAGAATAACAGCTCTGTATTTAAAGTGATTTAAAGCAGAAATGTCTGAAAAATTGGAGTGGTGGGAGTGGAAAAAATGTGAGACAGCAAAAAAAAGAAAAAACAAAGAAAAGGAAAAATACAGATACTGTGTCTTGAATGATGTAAACCTTGGCTAATCAGCGACTGGCTGTTGTAGCAGGCCTGAAGTAGTGGGATTAGAGGAGCTGATTTGATGCTGATCAATGATTTGCGATATAGCCCTCTTACCCTAAAATTACCATCTCTATAGGGCAGTGTGTGGAGAGGATGGGGGTTGGGGAAGAGACTAGGCTAATTTCCTCTGTAGTGCCAGGGTGGGTTTGATGTATAGAGGCGCAATGAAAAAAAGCTACTATGATTGCACTGGCTGCCTCCCTCAGCTGTTCCATTGTTCTTAAGCAGGAGAGGGAGAAGGAGATGATGGTTCAGGATAGGAACAGTGAAAGGAGGAAGAGGGGGAAGGAAAAACAGAGGATGGGATAAACAATAATGGAGAGATCTGAGACTACACTAATACACACAGTATGTCACTTGTTCATCACAATATTGGCCTCTGCAGTATTAATACTGCAATACACAGACTCTGAGCAATGCTGACTAATTACAGATGTCTGTGTGCTGTTTGTGTGAATCACAGCATTCATATGAGCCAACGAACAGTAATATTTTTGGTCAAAAAATGCCAGGCCAAGATCAATTTACAACCACGTCCTAACAAGACCCAGTGCATCAATATGTTTGTATTAGGGAAGCAAGAGTAGGATCAGACAGGATCAAAACCGGATTGCATTTATTGTATATTAGCCAGAGGTGGGAACAAGTCACTAAGTTGCAAGTAACAATTAAGTCTCAAGTCTTGACAATCGAGTCCCAAGTCAAGTGTCAGTCAAGTTTCGATTTAATTCCCGAGTGAGAACAGGGATATCTTAAGTCGAGTTTCAAGTCAGTACAGGTGAGTCTCAAGTCAAGTCTCAAGTCCTAATCTTCGAGTCCTAAACAAGTCAGTATGCATTCTTCAGCAAATTTAAGGCCATTTCAATACTGAATACCAAAAATGCTGGTAACTGTAATATATGGTAACTTTTAATGACAGCATGTTTGTAGTGTGTGACTGTATAAGTTTTTTTTACCCTTCTAAATAAAATGGTACATGGTACATGGACAAATATGAAAAACTGTCTCAGCAAACTAAAAACAACTCCTAGTTTATATGACAACAGAAACCTAAACAACCAGCTGTACAAAGTTTACAGAAAAGACAGCAAATGATTGTGAAGGACAAAGCTGAAATTGGCTTCTTCAAAGCTGCCGTTCCACCTTAAATGGTGCAGCATTCAGGCACCGGAATACTGCTGCACCATTTAAGGTGGAACAGCAAATTTTAATATGAAGCTTGCAAATAACAAGTCAAATTCAGTCTGCTGGTGAAAGTTGTGCTTGTTTTAACTGTAGAAGCTGTTAAATTCAGTCAAACAGAAAGAGCGCTGATCCCTTTGTTTTGCTACCATGAGGTCAGTTCACCTGGTAAATTTCTCCAAAAGGCGAAGAATTTAAGTGCTGAATGAGGGCTTACTGGTGCTTCGCGTGTTTCCAGCTTATGGAGGCGCCCTTGAACTCTGAACGCTTCAAATCAAAATCCATTCACACAAACAGTAACTGACTAGATTACCAGATTGCCAGATGCCTCTCCATGTTTCTTCCAACTTGGGCCTCAAGTCTTTCCATGTTATGAGGCTCAAGTCTGAGTCAAAGTCAGACTCCTTGGTGTTCAAGTCAAAGTCGAGTCGCAAGTCTTTCTCGATTTTGTCTTATGTTATCAAATTGGTGACTCAAGTCCAAGTCAAGTCCACACCTGATTTTAGCTGATCTGTGCAGTGATTTATTGAATAAATATGTGAGCCAGACAAGTACATGTACATTTATGATGAGACAAGAGGGTCTTTAGTAGTGTTGAAAAAAAACAAAAAATACGTAACAGAAAATAACATAGAAGCCTCAACAACTACATATAACTTACAAAAGTAAGTGTTTAAAAAATTATACTTGTACTTAATGATGGTTTTGTCCAGAAATTAAATAAATGAAGGGTAGTCTCTGAATTTCGCACAGTACTGTATATAGCATCACTCTTAAAAGTAAGGCTGCCAAAAAGAATTCTTTGGGGGGATGAAACAGAAGAACATTTAGCTCCCCAAAGAACCATTCAGTGAAATGTTCTTTAGGGAACCAAAAGTGATCCTTCTATGGCACCACTGTATTCATTTAGCCTGCACAGTGTGAGCTTCAGGTAAAGGGCAAATAAAGAAAGTTACTGTCTTCATTGTCTGTTCTTTCAAAAGAAAAAGTTGTAAAGAAGTAGCCAATTACTGATTGGTGCACTCCTTTATTTGTGATATATTGCATGGCATATCGCAGTTGCTGTATGTAGCCATATATAATATGGCATTCGGTCCCCAACCTGCAGCATCACAGAGGCATTGTTGTGACTAGTGTGTGATCAGCAGAAGAGCACTCAAGCGACTTCAGCAGCCTGGAGCCCAACACACACATTCATTTGCCTGCTCTTAATTACCATCTCAGCTAAACTAACACAGGCTCTGTTCTGTTGTGTTTGCTACATTAGGGACTAGGGGGGTTATAATTAACATAGCCCACAATAGAGAGGAGCTTTTTTGTTTTTTTTCAGAGGAGATAGGAGAGAGACATTGAGCCATGAAGATGAAGCTCCATTAATGCACTCATGCATGGATACTCGTCATCCTTCAGCCTGCAGCAGACAACATGGCACACCCAAAACACTAATCTCCCGCAATATACACACACTGCATAAAGAACAGCGCTCACACCAGAAAGCTGCAGCTGCACCTACTTCACACATGTCACACTTCCACCTCAGGCAGCTGTGTGATCAGTCTTAACTGCTACCAGCACATTTTAGATTATAGAATCACATGTGGAGGTCAGACTGGATGAACAATTACAAGAAGGTCTTTAGTACTGTTTGATGTTACTGTCTTCTGCACTTTTGCAGTTTTGCACTGAGGCCTTTGCATTGTATGTGTAATTATGTGTTTATTTTTTAGGGGTACAGAATGGCCAGTGTTTTCGCTACTGTAGCACCCAAATCAGCTTTTGGGGACCCATCCATGCATTCATTCATCTACACTCTTACAAAAAAAGGTGCCAAAAAGAGTTCTTTGGAACCACTTTGCCCAAAAAAACTTTCAATCAACTGGTTTCTAAAGCACCTACAGTTGTGCCGCAGTTGTCTTTAAACTAAGGATTTTCCTATTTCAAAGCTAGGAAACCCTCTTCTGGTGACACATCTTCAAGATGGGAAGAACTTTTGTCGATCAGTTTCTGCTGTTGGGGGTGGGTTATTTTGAATTTTTTCCTTAGTTGGAGATTGCAGCACAACAGGTAGCATTACTGCTAGGAGGCTGGTATCTTTTTTGGTTAACATTTAACAGCTCTATTAAGTTGTATAACTGTAGTAACTGTTTTCCTGTCATCATTAAAGTGGAGAGAATGGATTTCTCAAATGACAGAAATGATTAATGAGGTGAGGAGGACAACAAGCTAAAAGCAAGGTAGCTGGCTTTCTAGACACCTTCTTTTCTCAGGGTGACAGGGTAAATAACTTTGTCTCCAGCATCTGCTTTGTGCTAAATAAAGACAGAATCACTGTGTTTTTTATGATGGTTGAGATAGACTTATACAAGAGCTTGGTTGTAATTTTCAGTCTACAGATCAGTGGCTAGGCTAAGATTTGTTATCACTTGGATTCCCCTTTAAGGCTGTACCTGCATAGCTATTTGTCTGTCCATCCATCCATCCATCCATCCATCCATGAACCCACCATTGGGTCCTGATTTTACGTGGTGCAAGAATGTCCTGAGATGAATGAAGACTTCTGAGGCAGGGGTTATCAATATCCTGAGCACCAGTTACAGGAAAAATAAGCAAGACACAGAAGGCATTAACTTTACTCTCATTGTATTCTGTATTACAAGTGAGCAGGCAGCTAAAACGCTACCAGAACATTCACCACTTCAGCAGCAGTGTACATATTATTACAGGTTAATAACAAAAGTGCTCAGAGTTAATGGAACACAAATATGGCAGCAGTTGGTATCGATCAACAAGGCACCGGAGGCACTTAAGTCACCTCTCCCCCCTGGGAAGGGTGTTTCTCTGAGCCTGCCCAATAAAGATGATAAGAAACCTTGATCTTCTTCAGCAAGTGCATAACAGCTACAGATTCTAGTGGAACCATACATTTGATCTAAGGTCAGTTAATTTGAGGAGACTGAGAGCCATTCCATTCCTCTCCTCTGGGGTTCTGCTCCTTCAGCCCAAAGCACACCGACCCAGCATTCTCCAGTAAATACCAATTACCCTTCACTATGGATTGTTGGATCCTACTTGTGTGTGATGGTTAGGATGTTCTAGAATGTACTCTACCTTTCACACTGTGCTAGATTGTCTAGACTATCTCACCCTTTCAAACTACACTAAAATATTCTCTGGACTACTATTCTTTAGAAATTTGTTTGAAGGTATTGAATAATGAATAAATTAATTAAACTGGAATATAAACATAATTTTGAATAGCTGATAATTAGTTTATTTTTTACATTTTGTTTATCAGTGTCCTGATGATGGCTGTTGTTGTTGCTGTCGTTGTCACCAAAGTAACTTATCACAGGTTGTCTTTAATAAGAATCTGAGGCCGTATTCTCTGTCTGGTTTGTTGTGGTTGGGTTTGGGTCAGGTTTGGACAGGATTTTGTCAGGTTAGTCTGATTCAGATACTAAACTTGGTGCTACTGGTGGGTCAGCCTTGGTTGGAATGTTCCCAGGCTATTTTCAAGACAGTACAAAGCTGTCAACAGTGGAATGCAGATTTTTGTTGGAGAATGGGTCAGTGTGCTATGGCTTCTGTAAGGCCTCAGTAGAGGTGAGCATTTAGGTCATATTTCTCGCAGAATTTGTCAGTCAGAGGTATACAGGTGAGTAACTCGCACCACTCACACTTGAGGGGGTACACATAGAAGAGCACCACAAAGCCGGAGAAAATGCCCAGAAAGAGGGTGAGCGAGAGCAGGATCTGACAGCGCTTGCGATACATGTCCATGCGGCCGAAGCTAATGTAGGGCAAGAAGGCAAAGGAGAGGAAGAAGCCTGAGACGAAGCCACAGATGTGGGCGAAGTTGTCAATCCACGGCAGCAGGCCAAATGTGAAGAGAAAGAGCACCACACACAGCAGCTTGAGCAAGGCCCGCCATGGACGAGCCAGAATCTGCCAACTCTGAAACAGCTCCACGAAAAGACATGCCAGGATACCAAACTGAGATCCTGCCGGGCCCACCTGATAAAAACAAGTGAAAAACGTACGGTTAACCTTAAACTGAAGATTCTACACAATGAGCATGATTTTTTGCAATAAAAATTTTTTTTGGTCCTTTGTTAAGTGGTGGAAACTAAGATGACTGGTTGGCTGTGGCCCGGCAACTAGAATTTTTTGACAAATTCTAGCACACATAGTTTCAGCTTCTGGATGAGGTGGTGGAGCTCTCCGTTCTGCTACTGCTTTTCCAAAATGTAGATTTTGTGTGGGCTCTTTTTGTCACATGTCTGATTATTTCATATTTTTTTCACATTTTCCTTGCTTTACGCTAATAAAAGAGTTTGCTGTACTATGTGAACATTATTAAAGCTTCAAAACACATCATTCACTCCCATTTTGAATTCATCATGGTTATGGAGCTGGCTATCAGAATAAGTCTTAATTATTGTTATTGTTCTTTTTAGTATGTAAAACTATGCAAATGTCATTAGAGGACCTTGGGAGCAAATCCAAGTAAAATGAAAAATATGGGTCCCATAAAAGGAATTATTCAGTAAAAACTGAATTATTGCCATTTGGCACTATTAAACGAATACATAATTTAATATGTAATTAGAGATTAATTCAATTGCAAGCCCACAAACATGCTCTTGCAGTTTAACGTTAAAAAGTTCTTGATTTAAGTATATTGAATCATCAGCTCAGATTCACCCATTTTTTAAGAGTTTATGAGAATGGCACCTCAGCTCTGTAAGGTAGGAAGATGGCACTGGCCAAGTTGCCAGTGATGCCACTAAGGATGTAGATGATAGATATTCGCAGCCAGCCAGCTAGCTTCTCCAAATCCCTCAGGATGGTCATCTGGAAGCACACAGACACCAAGCAATGCAGGATCCTGAGCAGAAAAAGGAGAAGGGAAAGCCTTGAATGCAGTCCTCCACAAAAAGTGGGCTTGTATCTGCTCTTCAGCTAAAATTCTGACAATCTAAATATTATTTAGAGGGCTAGCAGTGCTAGACTTGAATGAATCTTTCTGCATACCCAGCATGCAGGAAGAGAGAGAGCCACAGCCGATAGAACTGGTCTGGCACTTCTGGGTTGAGAAAAGGCAGCAGGCCACACACATCATCCATGCAGTGCACCTAGTGGAAGACACAGTTCAGAAAGCCCTCTGTGCCCATGTGTTTTGAGCTCCATCTAGTGGCGGACTTCCATCAATGATTCATTTCACTAACTGAGAGGAAATCAACATATCTGCAACTCCCTCTGCTGGTTATGTTTAGTAAAAGCTAACCAGGTATGGCAAGGTTACTTCTTTAAATGATACACTGTGATACAAAGCTCTAATGATACTCATACCATTTCAAACCTTTGTCAGGTATGATTTGTGTCTCTAGTCACAGTGGAAGTACGCAGTTTACAGCTACAGATTCCCTGCAACGCACATGCCAGGACAACATATTAACATAATCTGAATGATAAATAGTAGTAGTGCGAGTGATCATTTCATATCTATTTAAATTGTAGTTGATTTTTTGGTGTTATAAAGAAATCTAAGAGGTTCAGTTAAAAGGCTATCAACATAATACCTGTAGTGATTTTTTTTGATAATTTGTGTGTTTAGATTTTTCAGCAATGCTGAAAAACCTGGTAACTTTGGTAAACATGGTCAATTTCAACATAACTCCATCCCGAATAACAACAAAAGCAAGGGAACCACTTCCCTGCTCCTGAAGCAACAATGATGCAATGGTGTTGTGTTGAAATAGAGGGAGAAATGTGAATTCACCTGGGAGCAAAGTGTAGCCTCTTCATGGAAATAGCCCTTCATAAAGTCACAGTACTCTCTGGATGTTATCTCACACCTGCACAATAAAAATCACCTTCGATAACCACTGAAACTTTATATCCTGAAAATTCCATCAGCATGTAAATGAGTCATTACTCTGACGTCTGTGCAGCTCTAGAGGTTACGCTCACCTTCCTTTGGTTCCGATGCAGCATGGCCTGCCTGTAATGACACAGTCTATATGTGGCAGGTTTGTATGGTTTCCAGTGCTGTATCTGGTGCATATCTGAAAGAGGATGAGAATCAGTGACCCTTACTGTGACTACTCAATTCATCACTGACTAACATGAATTCAGAGCAACAAGCATGGAGCATTCATGAATGGTGCTGAACGATGTACCGAAATCATAACATGCTAAACAATTAAATAAAACTAAACAATTAAATAAAACTAAACAATTAAATAAAACTAAATAATAACTAAACAAACAAGTTTTATTCAATAAAATATGTATCCTGATACTCCTAAACACAATAAGGCATAATACATTTTATATTTATTTTAAGCACATTAGTATTAGTATTAGGCTATAGTGTAATAATTTTAAACACACTGTGATGGTTTTTTTTGTTTTCCTGAGCCAATGTCTGAAACACATTGATGAGTTTGAGGCTGTATTATATGTTTTAAACAGTGCGAATGTTAGGCTATATTGTATTTTTTTTAAATGCAGTGTGATGAATGTTAGGCTATATTGTATTTCTCTTACTGTTAGTCTTTCTTTCAGAACCTACTAAATGAGGCCATGTTAATTTATTTCTGTTCTTTGATTTGAAGAGTTTTGTATCAATATATACTTATATTCAAAAATTAGAAAGAGTGTTACTAAGTCTTGCTTCAAAACTTCGTATTCATGTGTGTGAATTAATTTTCGAACATAATATGCTAAATATGCCTCCACGTCATAAGTCATACTCACTGGCCACTTGGTGATGTCATCAGGCCACTCATGAGGGGAGACAGAGGCTGGCTCCAGACATGTCCTGACATCACAATACACACAGGCATCAGTCATGTCTGCGTCACCCTTCCACTCAGTTAATGATGGATATAAAGGGTTTAATGCCTTACCTGGGGTCTTGGTGACAAACTGAGCCATAAGTGCGCAATTTACCATCTAGATATGGAACACTCGGATGCTGAGGCCACTTTACCCAAAGAGCCAACGTACTCTGAGAGAGAAAGAGAGGGGGAGGGGGTTAATAAATAACAGATGATGAGTATTTGAGAAAAGGATAGCTACATGAGTTTGCACAGCTACAGTACTGTCTACAGTACAGGCCAGCCAAACAAACAGTTTGAAACTATTTATCTGAGACATATGCTTAAAAACATTATATAACGTTAGAATAAATGGATGCATTTGTTTTTTTGTTTTGTTTTGGAAATCAAATTTTTATTTGACTTTTCTAGGGGAAACATACATAAATTGACAATCAACAGACATATTGTACAATTTTTTTTACCACCCTACCTACGCCCATTTGAGTCTTCAAATTTTTCATTCTTTCACCCTCACTGTAGCTGGACCTGCTCTGTTAATTCTAACCAAAGATATTACTAAATATAAGGTATCTAAAAAGGACTGCAACCAGTGTGTAATTGTAAGAGAGTGAGGTGAAAGCCAGTCAGGCCTGCCAATTTGCACACTCTCTTTGCTATAAGAAAAGTGAAGTTGCCAAGAGACAGGCTTGTTGTCAGTTAACTCCTTACATGGCCAAAGTTTTATTACACACTTCTATAACCAAAGAATAGCTCAGCCAGTTTGCATTCAAGTCCCTGTTACTCAATAAAAAGCCTTGGTATGTAAGGAGGCCTGGGATTTTAAGGGGTTAATGAGAATATAATTTCAATTAATTTACTGCCAAAAATTAACGTCTCTGGATAATCCCAGAATGTATGCATGAAAGTGATTACATAATGTACAATAGGGATGGGAAGCTAGTTTTCCACATATATTATTATGTGGAAACTTTATGACATTTGAAATGTTTGAACTGATGGTTTAGATTGCTAGAAGAATCTAACTCTATAGTTCTGCAACAAAGATCTGCATCCCAATCTTTCTTATTATGTATAGTAGTTTTTAAATGAGTTAAATTTGTTAAAATTCACTTCAATTAACATAGCGATGTAGTGATTAACCAGACTAGTGTTTATTCCAAAAGCTTAGAAATACTATTATAATAACGTATTCTAATGTGTGAGTTAATAAACTCTTGCTGTCCTCTTAGTTTCTCAGGTATTGTTTTGTGGAGTGATGAAGTGATGGACACTGACCGAACACTCTTCCTGAGAGGTCTGTACGCAGCCTGATTGGTCGTTGCGGACGCAGCAGGCTGAGTTACGCTCCTTCTTTTTCTTCTCCTGGATCAGATCATGCACCTGCTGGTCCTGACGCATACAGGGTGAGAACTTCGCCCCCAGATGTATCAGTGCTTCCTACAGTACAGGATGTGATATTGCATTAAATCATCTGAGCTCTTTTCATAAACTATAACATAATAGCTCACAAACAAGCCATAGGTGGTTAACGTAACTTACTGAGTTTGGTCCAACCCAGAAGTTCTCCTGCTGCACAAACTTAACATTCTCATAAACGCCTTTATTTCTTAAAACCTATAACATAAAGGAATGTGTTATAAATTATAACTGTATGCTTATTTGAACTATGATTTTGTCACAGACTTTAATGCACGTGATGAGATTTTATTTCAAGTAATTGTGGAGCATTTCTCTTTATCCATTCGTCATGAACAGTTCAGACAATTTAAAGACCTGCTGGCATTTTCAAATGATGTAAAAAAATAAATAATAATGTTACAAGGTTTTGACATGACAGTGATGATTTAATCTGCAGGCTCGACTCACAGAATCTACAGTTTCATGTTGGGAAAAGCCAACAGGTGCAATGCCATAGATGGAAACGGAGAGGATGGTGATGAGCAAGTGGACGAATGTTATCCAGTACGTGAAGAAAGGCCTGTGTGAAACAAAATTAAACCACCTGTCATTGTGGGTAAACTTTAATGTAAACATGTAAATGTGTGTATGTCATGTGTAACATATTATTTTGTTTTAATTTGGATATCAAAGAGCACTGAGTGGGACCTGTGGTCATTCATGTCCTCTATCTGTCTCTTCACATAGCTGTCGATGCGTTTGCGGTAGGTGCGATTGGTCAGCCTGCCCACCATACCCAGACCATAGGGACGTTTTTCTCTGGTGAAGAGCTTTTTCACAGGAACAGTGATGCGTTGACCGCGCCGCTGGCCACTGACACTCACCACCTCTTGTCGTAAACGCACTTTTGGTTGAATCAGTGCATCATCTCTTGTTTTCCTCCAGCCCCTCTCCAATGGCCTACAGAGGGAGAGAGAGAGTGAGAGAGATTCATAGTTCAAAGAATTCAGCCTTAGCTCATGTTTAGCTGTTTTGTTGAACTTTGCGCTCGTTCTGTAAGTGTTTAGATTCACCCTTTTGTTTGTATATGTCTGATGACTAACTTTGAAGTAGTAGCTATGAGTAAACTTCAGTGAATAAACATATACAAATAATGGGCTATGAGACATGAAGCAATGGGACATGTGTGTACACACTACCATTCAAAAGTCTGGAATCAACATTTTCAAAGGTTTGGAAGTAAATTTTGTAGCAGATAGATATACAGTACTATGCAAAAGTCAGAGACCACCTTTCAATTATTTAATTTCTGGTCAAAATTGCCATTAAGTTATTAATTTTTTAGTGTCGGAAAAAAGCAGGAAACATATTTAACACATATTCAACACCAGCAGCTTCGTTCTTTGATTTGCAAATTTTCTTTTTTTTTTGTCTATTTCCTTTTTTCAGTAACAGCTTCTTGACGGCTGCACATCCTTTCAGACTTATAGTGTTAAGTTGTCTCCTCCCAACACTGAATTGTGTCCTCAAAGTGGAAGGATGGACAGAAACACTTTTGGATTTTTTCAGATCTGAAGCAAGAGTGGAGCTTGATTTTCTTCTCTCTCTCAAACATGAAAGCTTTAAGAACTGTCTATCTGATGGTGACAATTTTAGTGGCCTCTAGGTCTTGCATGGTTGTTAGAAATCCCAATATCTCTATAGCTTTAAAAATTTCTTTTGATCTCCAGTTTGGCAAACAGTTTATTCACATATTTCCCCATTCCTTATGGGAATTTATATCCAGAAAATTAATATCCAGAATGCGTCATATTTGGAAATATTTGGTAGTCAAATTTGGAGCAGATGACAAGAATTTTCTATAAATGGAATTACATTACATTATTTATCTTGCTTCAAAAACACTTGATATATTGAATGAACACCCTACAATACATTCTGGTATCTAGTATAATATTTCAGTCTATACTGCATAAGTTACAGAAGAATAAATTAACAAAAATTGTTAGACTTTTGAACGGTACTGAATGTGTGTGTTTGTTATTGAAGCTCACAACATTAAGTGGCTCCTCTCTAAGTCAGTTTTGTCCAGGGCACTGCCAGTCAGGTCAGTCTCATCAGGGACTTTGTTTGTGTCATTCTCACGAATGGCAGCTTCAGAGGGAGACTCAAACACTTCATCTGCATATGTGGACAGTTCCTCATGTACCAGCCCATCCTAAACAAATAAACAGATCTATTAGATCCAGCACAAGTGAATCCACAACCTTACAATTAAACCTCTCCAGAGGACACACTGAACTTCTGTTATTAAAAATTGTTAAGCCCTATAGTGTTGTGGTAATGATAGTGTTACATATGATCACATGTATATCTAATTCTCTGAAGTCATCAAGCTTTAACCTTAGCTCTTAGAGGTCGCTTTTACTGCCAGTGATAACAAAAGGAATTATATCTCACTTACAGCTCATTGAAACAAGCAGAGAAATTCTGTCAAAAGTATAAGATTCTAAACTTTCAGTTTGTGTTTCTAATCACGGTACTGCACAAAAGTCAGAGACCAAAAGTCAGAGAGTAGGTTTCACAAAAGTAAAGAGTGGACAGATTAAATCTGGAAAGATTTCATATTATACTTAGTGTTGGAGTATAATTTGTAATTTTCTGTTAAATATATTTTTCCTTACACTAAAGGATGAATAGGTTGTACTTAATGGTCACTTTGATTGAGAAAATTAAACAAACAATCTTTGACTTTTGCACAGTAACGCAGAAGAGGTGAAACTTGTTAATACAGAAAATAATATAGAAAAAATGACAATAATAACACTGTACTTGTTGGGGTTAAGGACAGGGCTGAAATGCTGTTCCAGAGAATGGTCTGTGGGGGGCAGTGTTTAAAAGAGTAAAAGGGACCAGTGTAGCAGCAGTGCAGACTCATGGTATCCCAGGGGGTTAATCACTACTGGCGGCCTCACCCTTGTGAAGAAGGAGGTGTCTAGCTCATCTAGGAAATCCCCTGTGTCTTCCTCAATGAAGCTGGCAGCAGCAAAGCTGCGTCTGTGCGCTCGACGCATTGTACCCTCTTTCAGTGGACGACCCTGAAAGAAATCATCATCATCATCATCATCATCATCATCATTATCAAATAGCTGTTTGTTGAAAACACAAGCAAATGGTTAAAATGTCTTTGACAACGATGCTGTGCTGTTGCTGTTGTGGTGGTGAGATTATCTCTCTTTGAGAATATTCTAGCTGAGCAGCTAACAGCTGAGCATTCCAGTGGAATTACTATGGCCATCTGTTATCATTACTCCAGGCCTGTAGCCTCCTCATCTGGGCAGATGCACTCGGATGAACCGCACCAAATCCAGGTCCGACAAGACAAGCTTACAGATCAACTTTTACATAACAGATTAGAAGAGAAACAAATAAAAGAACACAAAAGTGAACCACCCGCAGCAATCTGTGATAATCGACACGGTGGAGGCTTTACTCAATGCACAAAGGCCTATCTCAGCGCAGTCTGCGTCACTTTAAAAAGGACACACATTCTTCCTGTCTCTTCAACATCTGGACTGATCATTGACTTAAATAAGGCATTTTTTTTCCTCAAAAGTGGGACACAAACGGACTTAATCCTTCCCATTTCTGTCCTAGTTGCTAGTGTCCAGCAAACTATCATTCTCTTTTCCCTTTCTATCTCTTTGTTGGTTCACATATTTTGATGTTTCTTGGCTCATAAAGGTGGAATGTATATTTCAAATAGCCACTTGATTTCTTTTACTTTCATTTACTGCGACCTCTTCTGACCTTCATTGATGTCCACTTACATCAACAATCATCACAACTCTCGCTATTTTGTCTATTTTGCTTTTGATGTGCTTCATGTTTGTTATAATATTTATTTGTTCAGCACGTAAACTTTTATTTTGTTTACCTAAAGTGTTTATGGCTAATAACATCAGGCCTTGGGTTGAAAATTAGCCAGATGGCTAACACTAGCACATTTACGTCAATTAACGTACAATGTCCCACAATCCTATCAGTTTCCAGCTACACCTTTTCTAGTTTCCAGTTTATTAGGCACATCTACACTTATTGGTCATTTTATCAGAAACACCTACCATTTAGGTGCATTCTATAGGTTTACTTTTACTGACTGTAGCTGTTGCTGAACAATTTATCAGCTCCCCTCTACTACATCCATCAATGAAAAGGGATCAGCATAGGACCACTACTCAGTACCATGCACAGACTTTTTGGAGGGGCAAGGGCTCAAGGAGAAACAAGAGCAACATACATATGAATTAAACTTCATTTAATTTACTGTATGGTGCAACCACTCATATAAAGAGACACAGTTTAATTATGTTCTAACCACTTCTGTTCTGACCACCGATTAAGGGTTAGAGAACGACTAATACAAACTGTGCAGAAAAAGATGAGTTTTAATAAATATATATCCAACAAAGTAGGATTTAATGTACAAAATTAATGTGAAATGACAAATAAATAAAACATAAAATAAGTATTTGTGGCACAGGTCTGTCTCTGATTCTGACCTTGACCAGAGCGGCAGCCGCTCTAAAGCTCATCTTGGCGACGGACTCTCTCTTGCGGCGGCGCGGATGCCTATTGAAGCCGGAGCGGGAACTGGTGAAGGAACAGAGAGAGACAGCGCCGGGAGTTATGGGAGTTTGCGGCCCATTAAAAGTGTCCACCTCCTCCATGTTACGGAAAGCTCGACCTCGGGCCAGTGGGTCCACGATCTGCATAGGAAGAGGACAACAGTGTCAACAAACAAAGCAGCCTGCATAATCTCTATGAGTCAATATTTTCTCTACTATCAATGCTGTGCTTCACCCAGAATGTGCAGAGCTTTGGGTATGTAAAACAATGTTTTGAATATTAGCTTTCAATACTCAGCAGTATACTCACATGGTAATAAAGCTAGTTGATACAGAATAAATGTACATTGTACTACTGTTCAAAAGTTTGGAACGGCTTGTTATATTAACAGTTTTTTGTTATTTTATTTCAAACACAATTCCAAAAAGGTTTGGACAGTAGGAAACATGTAAGTAAAAACAGACAGCATTGGTTTGCAAATTATTTTGGAGTCATATTCAATTAAAAACGGTAAAAGACAAGAAATTCAATGTTTCAACTAATAAACTTGTTTTGTATACATACACACGTATTCTATACTCTAAATTTGATGCCTTTGAACATATTCCAAAGAGGTTGGGATGGGGTATGTTTACCACTGTGTTACCTCACCTTTCCTTTTAACTTTCAGAAATCATTTGGAAACTGAGGACACCAACTGTCGTAGTTGGGAAAGCGGAATTTTTTCAATTTTTGCTTGATATAACACATAAGCTGCTCAACAATCTGGGGTCTCTTTTGTCATATATTGCACTTCACAATGTGCCACATATTTTCAATTGTCTGGACCGCAGGCAGGCCAGTCCAGCACCTGCACTCTCTTACTCCAAAGTAATGCTGATGTAACACGTGCAGAATGTGGCTTGCATTGTCATCTAGATGGTGGCATATGTTACTCCACAATGCATATGAACCTCTCAGCATTAACATTGCCTTCGCAGATGTGCAAATTACACATTGCCATCGGCACTAACACACTCCCATATCATGACAGATGCTGGCTTTTGAAATTTGCGTATTCCTCTCTGGCCTAGAGAACACAATGGCCATTATTTCCAAAAACAGTTTGAAAGGTGGACCCGCAGCACGTTTCCGCTTTGAGTCACTTCATCTCAGACAAACTTTAGCCCGGAGAAGTCGACAGCATTTCTGGATGTTGTTGATATGTAGCTTCTGCCACATAGATGCAGCCATGCACTTTGTTTACAGACAAGGGTTTTTGGAAGTATTCCCAAGCCCTTGTGGTTATATTCAATATAGAAGCATGTCGGTTTTTACATCAGAGGGATCGAAGTTCACAGGCATTTAATACTGTTTTTTGGTCTTGCCATTCATGCATATAGACTTCTTCAGATTCTCTGAATCTTTTAATAATGTTATGGACTGTAGATAGTGAAATCCTTAAATTCCTTGCAATCATGGGTTGTTCTTAAACTGTTGACCTTTTTGCTCAAGCAGTTTTTTGCAAACTGGCAATTTAAATATAGATATGAAATATCTCTTCTTCGTGCTGTTTTCAGTTAAATACTTGTAAGTCAATTTACAAATGATTGCTTACTGGTTTCATTTGCATTTTAGCAACAGTCCCAAATTTATGTGCTTGGGTTTGTATTTTATCAATAGTAACTTTTAAAATGTAGATTAAAATATTATAAAGAAGTCTCCAGAAGGTTTTTTTTTTCAGTTACTGTAGTAGAATGTTGTAGAATGTATCATATTAGAATCCTATAATGAATAATTTACAACTGGTTTTATATTATTAAAAACACTGATTAAAAATGATTAGACAGTAGTGTAAATTGCAATAACAGTTTTTGTGAATGATGTTGAACCTTCTGTATGCCATGCTGTGCTGAGGGGACGTATAGAGGTGGAGGGGTCTCTGTGCTGGTGATGGAGATGTTGTCCTGGCTGGGCAGATCCATCTCGCGGATCACCTGAGGCTTCAGCTTGCCGTAGCGCTGGTTGCAGTGGTGAAGGCTTTTCCTCTGCCATTTCTGAGTAGTGTCTGTATCTTTACTGACCCCAAACCAGTCCGCTGTGCCCCTGTGTGAAATCATAACTTTCAAATTAATGTCTTTTAGTTTACTTACATTTGTCAATCATTGAGCCCTTCCAACAAAAAACAGTATAGGTGAATTTTTTGTTAAAATTATGTAAGCATGTTATGGCACTGTTTGATGCCCTTTATTTAAAAAATGGGTCACTAAACCATAAATAAAGCATAGTTTGACTTTTTATGTAAAAGGTTGTACATAATAAAGAAATGGAATAGAACACAGAAAGCAAAATAACAGATAATCCAAAAAAATGAATGGTTGATATATGTTTTTTTTTTTGTGGAGGGGCTCAATTGTGTTGACGTATTACATTTTTATAGAAATTACATAAACATGTGTATGAAGTAAATTCAGTGCATCATTTTTATCTGCACCGAGGCAGATTTAATGATTTTAGGGCCCTCCTCAGTGAACCCTCCCACACCCCTTAACTCTTCCACCAATTAACACTTTGTTTAATATTGTGTCACACAAAATAATTTAATAGCCTGCTAGGAGTTTCCTCTCTCTATGCTTTACTGCTTGCTTGCTCATGCCCTGCTCATGGCCAAAAAACAACATGGAATTCTTATACAGTCGTATGCAAAAGTTTGAACACCCCTGGACAAATTACACGAAAAAATAAAACAAAAAATTACCATAACTTTAGCACAGGCAACATTTTGTGTTCTATTTTCTTTCCAATGTGTTGAACTAACAAATAAACAGAAATTTTATATTAAAGTGTGTTCTCTGTATAATGCATAATTAATAGAATGTCAATTCTCCGTGATGCATTGTCACCTCTCCACAAGGCACTGTTACACCTTTATTATTGAACATGAACACACTGTTGCTACATTATGAGCTATATTAATGTAGCTATCAAAAACGTCTACCATAAAAGTGCACTTTACGGTAGTAGCTCAGTAATGTTACACTATTATGAGTGTATCAGCAGTGTCCTAATATGGTATATGTTTCTAATAAAATGGCCAATGATTGTAGGTACAAGATACATGTACCTAATAAATGGCGAGCCAATATATATCTATCAATTTTTAATACAGTGCCATCAGATGGATCGAAGGTCACTGGCATTCGACATTTGCTTTCAGCCTTGCCCTGTACACACAGAAATGTCTCCAGGTTCACTATATCTTTTCATAATGTTATAGGTTGTGGATGGTGAAATCCCTAAATTCCTTGCAATCATGTGTGGTACTTTTTGTTGGACTATTTGCTCATGTAGTTTTATGTAAAATGACAACTGAGCCTTTTCTAAAGTTTGCCATTACAGCCAATCATGATGGCATCATCTATTACCTATTCATCTGTTTAACAGCAGAAAATTAAAAAAACAGGTTATTTGATAATTCAACACACTTCCAAGTCTTACACTGCCACTGTCCTAACTTTTTGAAAAGTGTTTCGGGTATCAATTTTGCAATTAGCATCTATTCACAAAAATCAACAAAGTTGAAAAGGCTCTAGGTAATGACCTATTTTAGTCTAGTGTACAGTCCATCTTAACTATCATACTGTCATTCTAGTGATGAAGAACTTCTCACTACATATGAGAATGGGATCCGAAGACCGAAGTTTTATTACTCACTTCTATAACCTTAGGATAGCTCAAGCAGTTTACATGGAATCCCAGTAGTTACTTACTAATAAGTGTTTGTATGTAAGAAGCCTAGGATTTTAAGGGGTTAAACCAAAACTGTCTCCGCTGGAGAAGACCAAACATCTGCTCTCAATCTTTCACAAGCTGTTCCAAGTTAAATAATACCTATCAAAAGCCTGAGTTATAAACAGAAGCAATTTTCCAAAAACATTCTATTCCAATCTGGACATGACTGCGCTGATAATTCTTTATTGTACTCTGACTGATGACTAACCTGTGACTCTCTCTTTTTCTTTCTCTCTCTCTCTCTCTCTCTCTCTCTCTCTCTCTGTCTCTCTTTATCTCTATCTCTCTGTGCATGGCTGTGTGTGTTGAATGTGTGTGTAAATAGGGGACAGCAAGAGGGTTTAGGGAGTGTTTAGAGTAAGGGACACTCTGTAATAACATGCCTTGGCTGTGTATCATTACAGAGGAGGCCAGCTGGGGCCTTTTAGGCCTGAACAGAAGAGTGGAGGTGTGGGGGTCAGGTTTACTGTTGTCCTCTCTTAAAGAAATTCTTATTTCAGTTAAAACTGAAACGTATGTGAAACATACACACAGCAAGTCAAACATCACAAAGCAGCATTGCTATACATGAAGCATAGCCACATGTGGCCTAGTCCTCTGCTGAATATTTGTCTGATTTTTGATTTCAAATATGTCTTTGAAACGTTAATGTGGCTTTCAGTTTCAGGTTTATAGGTTTCTCCTTATTCAAAGACATAGCAGCCTGGTCTTAAATGACTGGAGATAACTGCCTGGGTCCACCAAAAAAACTACCTAGGGTCATTACCAAAACTGCAAACATCAAGTGCCCACAGCCATTGCTACTTCAGAAAATATTACATCAAAAATAGCCAGAGTGGAATGCTTAACTGAATTTCACCCCAGGGCCAGAATAATGCAGTAATAATGCAGCTTAAACAGTTCACTGCTTTTCTCACAAACACTGGAATGACACTGTTATGGCACTCTCCTGCCACCTAAAATATTTCATGCTTCCAATCTTAAAACCCATGAGCTTCTGTGTTCTCCCAATAAAAGTGCTCCCAAAGGTGTCACTGACAGACTTTGGGCCTGCCGGTGGGCCCTGGCCATTTAAGAGATTAAAGCTTTCATCAGCAATTAGGCTCTGGATCTGAAAAGAACTCTGAAAAGAGTCTGAAAAAAAATGTAACCATTCAAAGAGATGTTATATATGTTAAGAACATTTTCTAAACACAAATAAACATAACATCAGCAAAAAATAACAAGAATATATTGCTTTTTTAAAAAAAAAAAAAACATATTTATCTTCATCAGAAGAAGACAGATAGAAGAACACATGTTTGTTTCCTGATACGATTTTGTTACATTTCCTCAGCAGCACACTTGATTTAATTTAATGAAGGCCTGAGTAGCTGAACTATGTACTGGATGGTAACTGTAAATACTGGACTTCCTCAAGAAGAGGTTTGGAAATGTTTCAGCTAGCAGACTGACATACATAAAATGTATTTGTTTATTTGAATTTATTCAAATAAATATATATTTACTACCCATATAAATGGCTTTGGAACTTTGCACAGTACTGTATAAGAAAGACCAGTAGGAGAATTTTATATATATCATCATGCAAACTGCTAACTAATGACTGCAAAAGCATATTTTCTGTTCCTTTTTTAAAACCTGAGTAATCATGACTAAATAAGTCCTAATAACAGACTAATAAAGGGTTAGGTGCTTAAAGGTGTTAAGTCATTCAGAGGGTAAAAGTTGTTTAAAAATTAAGAGCAAAAAAAAAAACAGCAAGGAAAACCAGACAATATAGCTTTAATTAAGGTGGAGTTGCCTCAGGTTAGTGTTTACAGTAATAATCCTGCCTTGATTGACATATGTCCTCTGTCAGTTAGGTGGAGTTAGGTGCTACTGAGCCTGCAAGCAAGAAAGATCAAATGAAAAGCAGACAAACAAGGGAATCAGAAATGAGAGCCTGCTTAATTCTACAAAACAGAGAGAAAAACACACACAATAGCAAAGCCTTGATGTTTTTCCATCCACCTACCTGTCCTCTTCCCACAAGGCTGCAAAGGTCATGGCTGAGGTTTATAAAGAGCACAAGGCTTTAGCTTTTGGTCCATCATGGCCTGTATTCAGCCACATACACAGTCCCATACTGAGTAGCTCTGACAGATCCTCTGTGTTATTCCTTATAGATGAATCCTCTCACTCTGATTGGCTGACTACCAGCTGCCTCTCCTCACAGCTCTGTCTCAGGAGTGTGCATGTAAACACACTCAGAAATACCAGCTCAGGATATAGAGCGAGCGCGAGAGCAAGAGAGAGAGGGAGGGAGAGAGAAAAGAGAGAGAGAAGGAGAGAGAGCGAGAAGAAGGAGAGCACAGAGAAAGACACAGAGAGGTAGATAGTATGTGAGAGTGAGAGCTGTAGATGTAGAGAGAAAGAAAGTGAGAGAGACAGAGAGAGACAGAGAAATAGTGTGAGAGAGAGAGAGAGAGAGAGAGAGAGAGAGAGAGAGAGAGAGAGAGAGAGAGAGAGAGACATGCCTCTGCTTGAAGCCACAAGTGAACAAACTAAAAGACTGGCCACTATCCACACAACTCAAACAAAGCAGGTAACTGTGGAAACTGCTATGTAAAAATGATGTACTACAAATAAGGCTTCTATGTATTTAAGTAATTTTATCCACATTGTCAGTATGCATTAACCAGAGGAGATTCAATATGTCACTAGGTTTTCTCCTAGTCACACTGAGACAGAATGCTTTGGTGAAAAGTTCATGTGATTATCCCGTTTTCCCAAATGTAGTTGATTAGCCGGCATGTTTAGCGTATGAAATTTGCTACTTTAGTTTTGTACTGGGCTTCACAAGTAATGGAGGTGTATATACACCTAATAGCATTTTGCAAACTACATCCCTAAACCACCACCCACTTGTTTCAAATCATATTGATTTATTAAGCAATATTAAACAAACTTACTTATGTGGTTTCTGACACTGTATAACATACTGTTATTTATATAAATGAACAAAACAGGGGGACATATTTCCAACAAACTATCACTTATAAGACCGTTTACTCTATCAATACTGCTGCTACTTTTGGAGTATGAGCATGTCTCCAGAACAGATTTCAGACATGAAGCTTGTGACTTTTGATCATGTACCATAAAGGTTTTAACACAGTATCTACAGTACCTGGCAACGTGACAGATAGAAGGCCCCATTTACATTTATTGCTACAAGTATGCAAAGCCAAAATTGTGTTGGTGATATAAATTTTATTTGCTTTTATTTTATTGGAATTGGTGTACACATTTGAATCAAGTAAACGCAATAC